ACTCCCCCAAATCAGTAAGAGACAGATAATGCTATGAAAAAATAAATGGGGAAAAGAGGTGAACAAACTGTTAAATGAAGAGTCTAATGAATCAATAAGAGTGGTTAAGGAAATGCAAAATAAATTAACAATGACATACAATACCATTTTACAAGTACCGACTGGCAAACAAGTCGGGCAACACCAGGTGTTGGTGAGGATATGGATACACAGAGACTTTTAAACCCTATTGGCAATGAGGTAAACGGCTATTCAATTCTGGAGAGCAATATGGCAATTATCTGGTAAAGACAAGACACGCAGATTCTACAAACAGGCAATTGCACTTTTAGACACATGCAGTAGACAAACTCTCCCTCAAGTGCCCACTGATATTTGTGGCAGCATTGTTTAAAATGAGGGAAAAAATGAGACCACCTAAATGTCCATGAATAAGGAAGAGGATTAAAATAAAAAAAAAACTGCGGCATATTCTTACAATGTAACATTATATATGGCAATTAAACCAATGAATTACCTATCTCAAAAATTTGTAAAAGTGCAGTATTGTAACTTTTACATACAAGTTAAGAAACAAACTTATACTATATAGAGTGATTCAAAAGAAGAACAAATGGCATAAATATGAACTGATACAAGCCACGACATGGATATATCTTAAGAAATGTGAATGAAAAAAGACTGACACATAGGAGTATCTGCCAAATGATTCCATTTATATGAAGTCCTAAAATAGGCAAATGGTTATTTATCGTAGTCTATAGTGACAGAAAACATAGAAGTGGTTACTGGGGGAAGGAGTACTCACTGGAAAAGGGCATGAGGAAAGCTTCTGGGTTTAGTAAAGTGTTTCGTATCTTTATTAAGGTAGTTAACGTTTGTCATCGAAATTAAAATTTGTACATTTTATTGCATGTAGGATACCCTCAATTAATTTGGTTTCCAACAAACAGAACTGAACGCTTTCAAAAATGTATTACCTGCTAACTAGGATGCAGCCAATAAACACTCTGCAAAACGAACCATTACAGGGATTTCTCTAATCTTAAAACTGCTCAGTAAATACCTTTCTTGTCACAAGGCACACGTTCCTGTAGCCCATTTCATTTAGGCCCTTTGTAACAAACATATCACACTGTTCATAGCTGAAATGGTATTCCCTCAATGCTACAAGAAGTGGTACAAACACAGGGGTTCTTGACACATCCTCACAAGAAGTCACATGGTGGGAGATCTGGAGACCAATATTCCAGAGCCAGGTCAACTTTTTGAGCATTATCCAATCCATGCCATGAAATGTGTACATTAAGAAACTCTGGACTGCATAATGGAAGTGAGGCAGAGCCTCATCCTGATGGAAAATGGGGATGTTGGAGATTTTGCAGCTGTGGGAAAAACCATTCCATCATTGTGTCCATGATTATACCATCATTTCCATTTGATGGATCTTTGGCAAAAAGGAACTGATGAAGACCTGTGTGCTTCACGTGGCACAAAAGATTTACTTTCAGTGAATCCCTGAAAAGTTCCATTGTAAAATGTTGTTTTTCAATGTCCCACATATGTGGAGGTTATGATCCATTTTTCCACTTTTTGCACTTCCCTGTGACCCTGAAATCTGCAGCAATACTTGTATCAATTTGCGTTAACAGTCTCAATGTGGGCTTGCAACAGGTTAAACAGATTAGTCTCCATTTATGGAAAATGCTCCAGATGGTAGGCTGAGGGATGCCTTCCTTAATTTCCACATCCTGGGACTTTTATAAACAAGGACACGAATTTGCCTCACTGCTTCCTCTGCAGAGGTGGCTGCCTTGTGTTCTTTTAAGATGTATCCTTTCTGTTCCATCTTATTGCACCAATGGTAATGGTGACTGCTGGGTATGTATTCATTGTCTGGTAACACATGACCTTTGCACTGCAGCAACAAACAACCAACTTCAGCAGACTCCGACATACAAAATTAAGTGTCGAAGAGAAACTCTACAAATTGGTGCACATCACATTTATGTATAAATGTTACTGTTACTGAATAATAAAATTTTGAAAGCAGTCAATTCTTTTATTGTTCTGTACACTGCTTAAACAGATATAAAATAATTAAACACATGAACAGAAAGGATACACATAAACTTCCATTTGGTGCTTGCTTCTGCTGAGGGAAGGGCAGGAATAGGAGAAGGACAAGAATGGGTCTCAACTGTGTCAACTGTATCTTGAAAAAACAAAACAAAACAATGGAGGCAAATGTGGCAAAATGTTAACGTATTTTAGATCTGAGTACCTAGTGAGTGTTATTTTCTGGATTTTTCTGTATGTTCGATGTAGTTAATACTTTTGTTAAATGAGTAATAAAATGGATCAGCTCTGTGAGGAAAAAAATCAAAAGGCAAAGCCTGTAATGGTAACTCTTTGAGCTCACAAGCAATGAATTTGTTACAGAGGTATACTTCAATGACAGCCTCCCATGCACTTTGTCATAACCAGTTGAAAGGAGACAGGACAAGAAAAAGCTGCCGTTGAGAAGAAAATCAGGGCTGGGAGAGCAGCAAGACCTCACCCAACCTCTATTCATCCTGTAACCTCTATGGGAACCAGTGAGGGGAGGGGACGGAGACCTAGAGACCTGGGGAAGAAGGAAGAGGCAAGTACCAGGAAGCACTGGCATCTGCAACACTAAGTGGTAAAAGGGGGCCCCCCCCCCCCCCCGCCCCAGAAGGAGGGAGAGAGAATATGAATTAGAAGCCTAGCAGCCAAGATACAAGAGTATCAGTCAGTCAATCTAGGATGGTAATTTAGACATAAATGCCATCATGACAAATGTATGGTAGTCCGGGCCCAATAAGTATATGTACCTTTTTCTGCCTTTAAACACTTTTATTTTAATGAATCCTGTCATTTTAGGCTCTAGGGATAAAAATCAGGTTCTCTTGGCCCTCAAGTAATATATACTTCTGCCATGGCTACAACATATGAAACATCTACAACAAAAATATATAGCTAACATTTATTGAGCGTCTTCTTTATGCCGAGCAGCATCCAAAGCATTTCATGTATTAATTCATTTAATCTTCACAACAGTCTTATGATGTATGGATTAATAGTCTTATTACTATTTTACAGACAAGGAAATGGACATACAGAGAGGTTAAGAACCTTACCCAAGAACACACAACTAGTAAAGGCAGAGTCAGGATTTGAACTCAATCTGACAGTGGGACCCAAGCTTTTAACCGTGACACTAAAAAAAAAAACTTGTAGTGAACATACTGCAAAGTACCCTGAATCTAGGTCTGAATTGTGACTCTAGCACAGATGACCTGGGTGATTCTGCACATATCCTTCAAATTTTCTCAAACTGCTTATTTTAGTGTTGTGGAAAGTCTCAGGTGATAGAACAAATCACACAGCAATTACATCCACCACAATTATGACCGTAAACTGGCCTAAAAAATGTAACAAGGACTTCCTTGAGAGCATCCATCCCCGTAGGCTTCTTAATCTTTATACCTAACACCACTGGACTCAACTACAACGTCAACCTCAGTACCAAGATCAAGGGAGTCCTTCATTGGAAGGGACTTAAAAAGTTTTTGGTAATTCAGGATTGAGCTCTAACAATTGGATTTAATCCCAGTTCTAAAATTAAGACTCTATCCTTATCCCTACACTTCTGAGTTCTACCTGTTCTCCTATACTTTTTCTAGTCCTAAAGACGTACTATGTGCCATATGATTGGCATATATTATCACATTCAACCCCAGAACACTATGAGGTAGGTTATTACTGCACTATTTGACAGATGAAGAAACTGAAGAGAGAGGTTAAAATGCCCAAAGTCATTTAACAGTGCCAGAATTCGAAGATGAACACAGGTCAACTGGCTGCAAAGGCCAGTTTTTCCTCTGTAATAAGCAATTTTAAAGTTGTGTTAAGATTCCATGGAGAATCAAGGGCTGTCAAAGACTGAAGAAACGGAAGGGCATATGGCTCATCTCACTCTTACAGATATATGTAGCATGCTGATTGCCACATACTCCGGATTCCACGCAATTCTTTCATGCCTTCCTGCCTGCCTGGGCTTCCTTCTCCTATCACTTAGAGATCTTAACTCAGTCACCCACAACCCAAGATACCCTCCTCTTCAGTAGATATTTCTTTCCCAGGCTACCCCAGCATGTTTCTTTTAACTTTCCACTCCTAAGTCTGCCATCAAATAACAGGAAGTACTCATAAAAGTCATTTTTAAAATGGCCACCATTATATATAAGTAGCAGTATCAACTCTGCCACAGTATGGAAGTAGATTAATTCGGCTCACATAATCTAAAATGTTGGATAACCCTCTAGATCATTTGTCTTGAGAATTAATTTTAGAACATATTTGTACTTCGAGAAAAATGTGACTGACTTATAACCAGAAATATCAACAGCAACCTTTAGTCTGACACGAAACCTCTTTAAATGTCACTAGCAAAATACAATAATTATCACTACCATGCAGTATTGGGAGTACTCAGTTTCCTTCCTTTTAAAGCCAGATAACTAAACACCACAGAGGTGCTGCCACTGTAATTCTCAAAGTATCCATACAGCACCTGCATAAGAATCTCCTGCAGCACTATTTATAAATGCAGATTCCTGGGCCCCAAGAGCAACCTAAGGAATCAAAATTTCTGTGAGATCAAGAAATGTGCATATCTTCACAAGCTCATCTAGGTATTAGTCTGAAAATCAACAGTACATATCCATTTCATTTTTTTCTACTATTTAAAGGAGACATTAGTTAAAACCATCTTTGGTTAAAACATTTTGCCGATACTTAAAATTGCACATATGTAAAGTGTTTGTCAGTATGTGTTTGAAAACATTTAGGCGACAATAATATTGATCAAAAGCAATACCTCTAAATAAAACTTCACTTTTTAGAAAGAGCTTTAGGATAGTGAAGGGAGTTATTAACCAAGGGTTAATGATAAACTAACTAGTCTTCACTCAATATAGCAGTCCACACACTTTATTCAGCAATGTAACAAGAGAGAAGTTCCATTTTGATAGACATAAGGCAGATACAGGGTAGATCTCCAGGGTACATCCTTTATACAGAATAACAACTTCAGGTTGCACAACATGTGGTAGGCATTTGTTGCATACCAATAGCCATTCCTCGCTTATCCCTTCCTAAAAGAGCCCTGATTTTATTAGGGGACACAATATATCTTACCCAGGCATTGCTCACCCCATTCCCCTTTGCCAGGCCTCTCAGGCTCTCTTGTGAACCAGTACCTTCTAATGAGATTTAAGATGAAAATCTGCAAGGGACTTTGGAGAAATATTTTTTTCCCCAAATAAAAAAAAAACTTGAAAGGAAAAAGCATTCTGTATCCTACTTCCGGCCTTTGATTGGGAATGAAATGTCTGTAACAGCAACAGCCACACTGTACTCACTGGGGAAACAACTATAAGGACAAAAAGCTTCCATAAGGATCCCAGGGGGGAAGAACAGAAAGAGCCTGGGACCTTACGAACATTGTTGAGCCGCTACACAAGCACTGAATTATCTAGTATCTCAAGAGGGATTTTACAATTGTTCAGTGGCCTCTGAGATGTTTTCAACAGATTTTTCTACGTTTCTCCTATACTGTGGTTCCATGATTCTCATAAACAAGTGAAGACCAGAATGTGGTCAATGTCCAGCAAAACATTCTTAGTTCTGAGAGAGATGCTTCCCCTAGACTGTTCATAGTATCTATGGAGTCAAGCTTGATACCGCCTTTCATCATCTATCTCATATCATAGTATAAGTACTTTTCCATTTCCAGGGGAAGACATTCTAAGTTCAGTCACCACAAAGACAGGATAGTCTTTGCTTATGCAGAGCCAAGTGAATATAGATAATGGTATTTCTGCACGTTTTTGTATAACCTATGTAAGTGTTACCACGGGTTAATGTATAAGAGATGGAATTTAGAACAATGTAGTTTCTTATTAAAATATCTAGCTGTTTTACTGGAATAATCTACAATCCAGCTATTAGGGATGCTTTCCCACAAAAGTTATCACGAGAAGTATCATTATGGTACATACAGTATAGGGCCTCTCCTCCAGGACTACCCTGTCATATGTCCACAATAAGACTGTGGAGCTTTCTAGGAGGGGTAAGCGAATTCCAAAACATAGGGAACATGGATTAGACTGGTTCTAGATGAACGGTCTGGCTGGAATACTGACTAAATTCATGCTGAACAAAATATGTGTAGACCACGGGAGCAGATCCAACAATTTAATAAGCAGGTCCCCAAGGTAGTGACAGTCTATATCATATTTAGGAAGGAGTCTTTTTTCCATCTTCCTTGGGCTACGAGTACAAAACTCTAGAGTCTCCATGATTTTGAATGTTTAAGAAGTTATTTGTTTTGGCCAAGTTTTTTGTTCAAGGTTTTATCTGTTCTGGTCAAGATTAACTGCAATGCAGGGTTAAAACCAGCTACTCTAGAGTCATGGATCCTTTTTCTAACCAGTGGAGGACCCAGAAGAAATGGGTGGCAAGCTTTTTCAAAGGTCCATCTGGTAAGATTTTGGGGAGCCCACTCAAGTGGGAAAGACCAAGGAAGAACAAGACTTCTATTAGCAGGGTTATCAGGGTAACACTCAGGGCAATAATCAGCTCTGTTAATACGGTCTAAGAATACTTGGTAACATTCATTTTCAACAAGTTCAGTCTGGTACAACCAATGGCCTAGTTCTAAACTAGGGAACCACTGTTGTCCACAGTCAGGGCAATGTGAATTATCTGAGAACATCTGGGCCTAGAAAAACAACACAGAAAGCAATGTAACAGTAAGAGGCAACAATGACACAGATACCCAAATAACCAGTCCTATTACAGGTCTGGTTTAGCAATTTCTCAGTCTGAAAATACTTGGCAACCAGAGTTAAATTTGGCTTGCACCTCCGTGCAATTCTTCAAGATTTCGTTGTCTGTTTTTCACTCAATTGCAACTCAGTCTCTGAACCCAGGGACCGATTTCGTCTATAATGTTGTCAGTCGCTTATTAGCAGCACAGATCTCAGAATAGTTCCTTGAAATCCCAGCTTCTCAAGAAAAGATGGGGCTCTAGTCTAAATTAGTTATTTCTCCTTGTGTGTTATCAGCTGGTGGTATCATGCAGAGGCACTTGGCTTACTCTGCTTTGCTGGTAAATTATTACGTCTGCTTGGTGAAACAGAGGAGCTGACAGGTCCAATGGGTCTTTTGTGGGCGCTGGCACTTGTTGTTGTAACACAGGTACCCAAGTCTTAACGCCTTGGCACTTTACAGTGATGGAGGGGGGTCAGGAAAACCTGGTAGAGTCCTCTTGAGCGTGGATCCAATGAAGTCTTTCTTGGGAGGACCTTAATCAGGACACAGAGAAGTAGCTGATGTTGAGTTGGTTGGAGGGTCTGGAAATGCTTCACATACCTGTAAATGATAAAACTTCAGACGACTCATATGGGCTTTGAGTTGCTCACAATATTATTAGAAACATGCATTTGGAAATCATTTGAGCCAGTCAAGGTGGATGAGAATTGTCTTGTGGGTTTCTCCATGACAATTTTATATGGGTTCAAACCAATGTATCTGTTGGGAGTTATGCTTATTTTGGGCACTAGGAAGGGTTTTGGTTCATTTAAGATTTGTATTAGCTTAGTATTCTTAGGACTAGATTTCTTTTTGCTAACTCCTTTTGCATTTTAGTAATAATAAAGTCTGTATAATCATGTTTAATCTGGTAAAACTTTGAGATTTCTTGTGTATCTCTTCTGTGAAATGGGTGACATATATGATATTCCTGTAATGTGTGGGATAACATTAACAATGGTGACAGCCTTTCTACAAAAGACTTCAATCTATCCAGGAAAATGCTTACAAAGTCATCAGGAAATATCATTAAAAGCTAACTATAGGAAGTTGGAGGCAATCCTTCTGAAGACTGAAAAAGAAACCACGAGGGACAGGTTTTATTACCCACATCTATCTTTATAGGTTTATGCGCATTATAATGTTTAATAAGGCAAGTCAGGTATAGTCTTGAGCAATAGTCCTGAGCAATTCTTGGAAAATATTTAGAAAATAAGTTGGAATTTATAGATACTATCATTTTTATACTCCTTCATGACACTGAATGCAACAAATAAATAAGGTCGGGTACTAGGATGTATGGAACAACTGCATAGCCATCTAGAAAGTACTATGTGCCAGAGTACAATATATACCTTGTTTTTCTGCAGTGTTTTGTGAGTTCTGAGGCTTGATCCTGTGAGAGCAGTAAGAGACACAGGGAAAGGTGTGAGTGCTAAGACTATATAAAGATTTGGCCTGAAAAGCAGAGGAGTGAAAGCCTTAGTTGTGGTTTGGCCGAAGCATCTTCCTTACAGACTATCAACGGTAGCTGTGATACTCAGATTTTAAAATGGCAAGTTTAAAAGGTAACTGAAGAGTTTCTGACAGTGCTGCAATACAGGGCTCCTATTCTGATGGGAGCCCCAGATGAGGTGAGAAAGTCAGTAAATATACTGATGTACTTTTTGAGGTTAGGTAACAATGCATGGGTGCGGGCTACCAATTCAGCTCCTCATTCGAAGTGAACAACAGAAGGGACGCAGGGATCCTGACTTAACAACCTTTATGGTGACAACACTGAACACCTGAGGGTCCACTGACAAGAGCACCAGAGTAAGTTTCAGTTATTGAATTGGGAAACCTTGCAGGTCTAGTACATGGAACAAATGAATAAAGCCACACAATCGTGGGGCTCAACATAAAAGTCACTAGTAGAGTTATATGGCTAAGTCTAACACTGAAAAGATAAGAAATTGTGGATTTTTGGCACGAAACGGGAATATGCAATTGAAAGCACAAGACAGTATTCCACATCCACCAGACTGGCAAAAATCAACAAGTCTGACAATGGGGACTGCACACTCTCGGTAAAACCACCCCTCCCCCAGGACTCCATGTCTCCACTGGCAGTGTCAAGAGCCAGACCTAAAGCTCCAAGTACTCAAAATAAACCCACCCTTCCCCCAACCTTCATTTCTCAACTTCAAGAGTCCACAAAGCACTAGAGACCCAAGTATTCCTGATTTCAAGAACTCTAGTTTTCCTCATGTTTCAGACAAGACAGCCCCTCCTCTGATCCTCTAAACCACTATGGGCCAAGAGTCAAAAAGGGACCCCAAAGCACTAAGTGCTCAGAGTAAGATTACTTATCACCAGCCTCTTCCCTCATTCCTAAGCCTTACCACTGATAGGTGAAGAGGGCCTCCTGAATTGCTCCTGGCAAGATTCTCAAACTCCACTCCCACCCCCCACCCACAGCTTCACTGACATTATCAGCTTGAAAGCATCAGGCCCAACCAAGCTCATCATACCTGTATCTCTGTTTATGCTGACCACTAAATAAAGCCCAGGGCCTCGGAGTGGTACTTCATCCCCTGAGTCTCGAATCCCCATATAGATCCAAGAGCAGCCGAGATAACGTCCCCTCTCCTTGCTTTGTTGTTTCCATTTTGATATAGTAAACATTTTAGCCATTTGTCTGTACTGAAACATAAAATCCCTGAGAATAGGGCTTTTTGGCTTTTTATTTACCCAAGTAAATAAGGTTGTATGGAACAACTGCACAGCCACCTACAAAGTACTATGTGTCAGAGAAGTACTCATGTTTATGTGCCCAATAAACAAATGGTAAATACAAATAACTTGAATCCTTACACTCTAACAATAGGAGCATAAATTAGTACAACCACTTTTGGAATTAATTTGGCATTATCTAATAAGGCTGAAGGTGTGCATTTCCTAGAACTCTGTAATTCCACTCTTAGGTATATAACCCAGAAAATTTGCACATCTGCATTTGAAAACATGAATGTAAATATTCACGGTAGTACTGCATGTAACAGCCAAACAGCCAAAATGACAATGAACGGTAAAATGGATAAACAAATCGAGGTAGGTATATCTTGTTTTATTGCACTTTCCTTTACTGTGCCTCTCACATACTGCATTTCTTAAAAATTGAAGGTTTGCAGCAACCCTGCATCAAGCAAGTCTATCACTATCATTTTTCCAACAGCATTTGCTCACTTCATGTCTCTGTGTCACATTTTGGAAATCCTCACAATATTTCAAACTTTCTCATTATTATCATATGTGTAACAGTGATCTGTGATCAGTGATCTTTTATGTTACCACTGTAAGTGTTTCGAGGTGCCAGAAACCACACCCATGTAAGACACTGAACTTAATAAATGTTGTGTGTGTTCTGACTGCTTCATTGACTGGCTGTTTCCCTATCTCCCTTCCTCTCCTCAGGCCTCCCTATTCCCTAAGACACAACAATATTGAAATTAGGCCAATTAATAATCATACAATGATCCCTAAATGTTCAAGTGAGAGGAAGAGTTGCACATCTCTCATTTAAATCAAAAGCTAGAAATAAGTAAGCTCACTGAGAAAGGCATGTAGAAAGCTGAGACAGGCTGAAAATCAGGCCTCTTGCACCAAACAGCAGAGTTGTGAAAGTGAAGAAAGTTCTGGAAGAAAATGAAAAATGCTGCTCCAGTGAACACACAAGTGCTATGAAAGTGAAACAGCCTTACTGCTGATACGGAGACAGTCTGAGTGCTCTGGATAGAAGATCAAACCAGCCACAACATTCCCTCCAGCCAAAGCCCAGTCCAGAGCAAAATCCTCACTGTCTAATTCTATGCAGGCTGAGAGAGGTGAGGAAGCTGCACGAGGAAAGTCTGAAGCTAGCAGAGGTTGGCTCAAGAGGTTTAAGGAAAGAGGCCGTCTCCGCAAGATCAAAGTGCAACGTGAAGCAGCGGGTGCTGGTGTAGGTGCTGCAGTAAGTGAACCCGAAGATCCAGCTAACTTACTTAATGAAGGTGGTCACACTAACAACAGGTTTGCAATGTAGATTAAAACAGCCTTCTATTGGAAGAAGATGCCATCTGTGACTTGCACAGCTAGAGAGGAAATATCAATGCCTGGCTTCAAACCTTCAAAGGACAGGCTGACTCTCTTGTTAGGGACTAATGCAGCTGGTAACTTGAAGTTGAAGCAAAAGGCTTCTTTTTCCCCCATTCCAAAAATCCTAGGGCCCTTAAGAATTATGCTAGCTACTCTGTCTTTCCTATATAAATGGAACAAAGTCTGGATGACAGCACATCTGTTTACAATACGGCTTACTGAATATTTTAAGCCCGCTGTTGAGACCTACTGCTCAAAGAGATTTCTTTCAAAATATTACTGGTCATTAACGATGCACCTGGTCACCCAAGAGCTCTGAGGAATATGTACAATGAGATTAACGTTACTTTCATGCTTGCTAACACAATGTCAATTCTGCAGTCCATGAATCAAGGAGTAACTTAGACTTTCAAGTCTTATTATTATTTTTTTTTCAAGTCTTTTTATTTCAAAAGTATGTTTTGTAAGGCCATGGCTGCCACAGAGAATGATTCCTCTGATGGATCTGGGCAAAGTAAAATGAAAACCTTCTGGAAATGATTCACCATTTTAGATGCTATTAACAACATTCCTGATTGATGAGAAGAGGCCAAAATATCAACATTAACAGGATTCTGGAAGTGGGTCCCAATCCTCACAGATGACTGAAAGTTCAAGACTTCAGTGGAGAAGGTAACTGTAGATGTGGTAGAAAACAGCAAGAGAACTAGAATTAGGAGTAAAGCCTGAAGATGTGAGTGAACTGCTGTAATTTCATAATAAAACTTTAATGGATGAAGGAGTTGCTTCTTATGGATGAGCAAAGCAATCCATAGAGATGCTTTCTTGAGATGCAATCTACTCCTGCGAAGATTGTTGAAATGACAACAAAAGATATAGAATATTACATAAACTTTGCTGATAAAGCAGTGGCCCAGTTTAAGAGGATTCACTACAGTGCTGAAAAGAAGTTCTAGTGTGGGTAACATGCTACCAAACAGCATGACATGCTACCAAGAAATCATTCATGAAAGGAAGAATCAATGGATGCATCAACCTTCACTGTTGTTTTTTAAGAAATTGCCATAGCCATCCCAACTTTGAGTAACCACCACCCTGATCAGTCAGCAGCCATCAACATCAAGGTAAGACCCTCCTGGCACTTGTTGGGATGAGCACTAGGTGTTGTATGTAAGCCAATTTGACAATCAATTATATTAAAAAAATAAAGGTAAGACCCTCCACCAGCAAAATGATTATGACTCACTAAAAGCTCAAATAATGGTTAGCATTTTTTAGCAATAAAGGTATGTACACTTAAAGAAAACATAATGCTATTGCATCATTAACGTACTACGGTATAAACATAACTTTTATATGCACTGGAACCAAAAATCTGATTTGACTTACATTATTGAGATATATGCTTTACTGCAGTGGTAGGTAAAAAATCTTCACTAGTCTCC